AAGAACCAAGAGACTCATGTAATGGTACAAGATCCCAATGATGAATGTAACTGTATTTTATACCAAAAATGTACCAATAAACTTAATGGGGGAAAAAAAATAAAATGAATAAGTAAATAAATTGGACGAAAAAGAATGCACAGGTTTCCCATTAACATTTCTTCCTTCCTGTGTAGTTAGTTTATACCCATGCTACCCAATAGGCTTTTGGGGTGTGGACTTCTGAATGAGAGCTTCTTCAGGCCTTTCTTCTGTGTTACTTTCCTTGTGATGTATTCATGTATTATTAACCTCCAGTCTCTCTGAGAGCAACTTGTTTCCTCCTGTGTGTAAACTGAGATTCTTTTTGCTTACTGTGTTAAGCCTACTAGGTGCCTTAACAGGCATGCTTGTCAGTCCTAAGAGCTGCATTACTAAGAGGGTCTCCTAGATCATCTTGCTGATGGAGAGTTTCTGTCCTCTCAGATGAGCTCCTCAACTGAGTGGTGATATGCATATATGAGCTGGATGAAGTATGAGTGGGAGGGTAGGATTACTTTTATTTTCTTTTTATCAGGTGTTCATATTCCCAGGATACATTTCCTTATAATAATATCTTACTACAGATATAGCTATATAACTTTCTTTATATCACATAAAAATACAATACAAAGATATTTGAAATGTGTTTCACTAGTGCAGATTTGTATGGTCCATAAAATTTGAAGACAGTTGGTTGATTGATCATATTTTTGTAATTTCTTGGAGTGTTTCATGGGAGCTAATATGAGTTGATGATCATGACTGCCTCAAATTCTGTCACTTTTCTAGATTAGTGCTCTGGAAAAAAAAGAGACCAACTTTTATGCTCCAAAGAAGTTTTGCCATTTTCAGGTAATGACCCTCTGATCTCATGATAACATGAATGCTATGTAAGCCTTCCACATCTGCACACATCTGCCAGGCCTTAGTCATTTCTCTTTGGAGAAGCATCCCCTTAAGTAATGTTGATAAAAATGGAGCCCTATCTTGTCAGTTGTTAGAAGATTTTAATTTTATGCCGAGCAATTTTAAAAGGTTATATATTAGTTAGAACTAAACTATTTGAAACATGATTAAACTATATCTTAATTTCAGAAAAATCACATGGAAAACCAAATTTGTAATTCAACTTTTAATTTAATTTATCTTAATTTTACCACATTATCTTTAAGTGTTGTTATTCATCCATTAATGTCATTTCTTTAAACATTACATTGATATATCTTATAATTTACAAGTAGGTTTTTATTCAATCTTTTATGTAATTTCTGTACATGAAATACAAGCTTCTGTATTTTGTGGCAATGTGTAATGCATAAATAGCAGAGGTAGCCAGATAATTAGATTAAAATATTAGTTGTTTTAAAAATAAGAACCAAGAGAGATTATGTAAAGGTGCAAATTTCCAATGATGAATGTCATTATATTATATACCTAAAATGTACCAATAAAATTAATTTTTAAAAATATTAGTTGTTTTTATATGGGCACATCATGTGAGGAAACTTTAACTTACTGAATAAGTGAATGCAGAGACAAGGGCAAAGTAAACAATGGATTTTTCGACATTAAAAGTGATACAAAAATGTGACACTTGATATAATATGACAGTTGAATAACAGAGGTATTGTGAGAACCCATGGAAATCCATAATCCAGCCTTGATTGGGAAGTGGTGGGACCATAGAGAGAACCCAGAAGCTTGAGGACGTGAGGCAGACTTGAGTACTTATTGAGAATGAATCTATATATATTTATGAAGGCACACTTTTGGTTGAGAGTGATAAAGAAGGTAATGTATGTGATAAATTTTCCACACTTTTCTCCTCAGGTATATGCTAGATGCTTCTTCCCCCAAGAGATGAAAATAAACAGATTTTCCAGTCTTATTGGCATACAACACATGGTTTTCTTTGAAGTCAGCATTGGGATCATAGCTAACATGATCCTGCTTCTGTTTCATGTCCTCACATTCCTTCTGGAGCACAGGCCCAAGCCTACTGATCTGACCATTGGTCACTTGGCCCTTATCCACATAGTGATGCTCACAACTGTGAGTTTCATAGCTGTAGACACTTTTGGGTATCAGGATTTGGGGAATGACATCAAATGTACTTCTGTTATCTATTTGAATAGGTTGATGCAGGACCTCTCCATTGGTACCACCTGCCTGCTGAGTTTCATCCAGGCCATCACCCTCAACCCCAGAAGCTCCTGTTTGGCAAAGTTCAAACAGAAGTCCCTGCATCAGAACCTGTGTTGCTATCTCTTTTTATGGGTTTTCAATATGATCATTAATGGTCGGATCTTAATCTCCACTGTTGCCATACCCAATGTGACCTCACACAGTTTTATGTTTCTCACTACATCCTGCCCCTTTTTGCCCATTAGTTCTTTCATCAAGTATACATTTTTCTCACTAATGACTTTCCAGTACATGTTGTTTATAGGGTTCATGGCACTCTCAAGTGGGTACATGGTGATTCTCTTGTGCAAGCATAAAAGGCAGTCCCAGCATCTTCATAGCACCAGCCTGTCTCCAAGAGCATCCGCAGAACAAAGAGCCACACGGACTATTTTGTTGCTCATGAGTTTCTTTATTGTTATTTACAGTTTGGACTGTATTATTTGCTCCACCTCTTCAGTCCTATGGAACACTAACCCAGTTCATCATTGTGTCCTGATGCTGCTTGGTAATGGCTATGCCACAATCAGTCCTTCGGTGCTCATCAGTAGTGAAAGACGAATGCTCAAGTGCTTCATGTTCCTGTGGGGGAAAGACAGTGAATGATTTTTCAATTCATGATGAATAATTTTTCTGACAGTGAGCAACTGCCTGAAATTGCTGTTGGATATTGAAATATACATAATTGTGCTTTCTCTGTTAAACATATTTACTTTGATATATGTTCCTTTTAAGTATATAATAGATAATGTAACAGTATATCTCACTGAGGGAACACAGGTTTCTAATTGTAACCTCGCTTATAAGAAGCAGAAATCTTGCCTGGTTCAAACTCTAAAGAACATGATGTGTATCACTGGTTTCTGAGAATAAACAAAATAGAAGAAAGAGGAAGAAAGCATTACAAATTTGGAGAAAAAATATTGGGATGTTATTGTGTTCATAGCTTTATGTGTGATATTTATTGGTTTGTATGTTTCACATATCCATTTTATTTCATTTATACCTCAAGAACCTTATTTAAAAAGTAATTGAAAAAGAACAGAAATCCTGGAAAAACATCTTGATGATTTTAATAACTTATTAAATAGTATGTGATGTGCTTTAGAGTTTTGAATATATGAGCACATTTGTATGGTATAATTTTAACCATTGCTTTTGTATGGGATTGGAAAATTCTCCACAACTTCCATAAAGTAAAATAATTATGATCTTTATTCTCTAGACATAATTAAGTAATATCAGTATACAAAAGAATGATATCAAGTTTCATTATCTGTTCCCTTGCTAAATGTATACATTTTTATAAAAATGTACAGATTATAAGTACAAAACACAGGTAGATAGTAATAGGCAGAATATAACATAATTTCGTGTCTTGTTTATTTATGTTTTATAAACCAGATAATAATTACAACCATTCTTGTATTATTTTTCTAGTATTGTGCTTTCAATAGCAAATGTTGATATTATACCCATTTTGAAAATGAAATCTATGCTATTATTTTTCTTGAATTAACAGAATGTTTGAAACAACAGAGAATATATACCTATTGAATTCAGAAATTCTTATAAAACAGACTTTTTCTGAAAAACAGTATGTATGTGAAGTGAGTCAGGAATCTTTTCCTTAAACGTGTCATGTGAGTACTGTTACTGTAGATGGTATTACAAAGTACTCAATGTGAAAATCTCCTGCTGTGAATTCTTGATAAATTAAGACAAAATTCAGTTAAATCCTTATGAGTGTTTACCTAATTACATGTAATTCCAAGATCTAAATATGAAAATTTATGGAAAACCAGGATTTAAGCAAATCAAAACTGCACTACCTTTGAGACATTCAGAGACAAGCAAGGTAATTTTTTATGTGGTCTGTCAGGACAGGGAACAGAATTTCCAACTTCTGATTGTGTCCGCAGCACTTGGACAGTGGAATTGAGGTTCCACATTAAGCAGATCTTTAGGGAGAAAAAGAGATGACAAGTGACAAAGGAGCCAGGAAATCCAGTCCTCTTTCATATGATAGTAATGAAAGTTTTCCTTTAAGCCCAGCTTGATTTCAAATTTAACAAAGATGTTTTTACAAATAACTGATTTCAGTTCTCTAGAGCAGGTAAGAGGAAGGAATAATTCTTCTCAATAGATCTCTGGATTTTTTTTATCAAGTATGTATCTGTAGGTATTTTTAAATTATCTAATGTTTCAGAATATAGTGTCTGTACAAGTCATTAAAAACTTAGATCTCCAATATTATTAATATGAGAATAGCCATGTATATAATATGATCATGAGAACTATTAAAGAAATAAAAATTAGTCTTAAAAATTTTAAGTTGAAATGCTTACTTTAAGACATGTCCTTTAAATAATAGTGGATGAATTTCAATTCCATTGTGATGTAACCCATTCTTTGTGCTAATTTCAACAAATATTTTTCATAAAATTTTCTTAAGAATCTATGTGAGGACTCTGACAAGTAAAGAAATTCAGGGAAGCTGTTCACAAAAGAAGCCAAAACACAGAGGTGTGTCCTCCATAGCTGTCAGTCTCCTGTTTCTTTTCTCACATGGATTTTCAGACTCATGAAATTATCTGGCAGTGATAATAGAAATCATGCCCTTCTGGTGAAAACAGACCAGACTGAGCCTTGAGGGTAGAGAGTCTGTAACAGAGTTCCAGAGGGGAGACAGCCGAGGAGTAGTTCCCTAAGTCTGTGTATGTCCCAATCTGAGATCACTGTTAACCCAAATTCCAGGGCACCAGGTCCAAACAAAGATAGCTGAGGTCCAAACACACATGGAAGATTGAAAATAAAGGACAGCCTGAACTTAATAGTGTAGAGCGCCTTCTGAAACAAAACCTAAATATTTTCTATCACATTTTGACAAGACTCTCAACACAGGATAATACAAACTTCTAAGATGTGATTCAAAATTATTCAGTGTATAAAAAAATCAGGAAAATGGGACATAATCTAAAGAATGAAAACAATTGTCAAAACCAAGGTAACACAGATATTGAAATTATCACAGGCAAGTAGTTTCATGAAGTGTGATCAAAATATATGTAAAGTGTAAACTTAAAAATTATGACAACTCAGAAGAAATGGAGAGATTTCTAGATACATATGAACTAACAAAACTGAACAAAGAAAATTTTAAAAGCCTGAATAATTCAATAATGGGCATTGAGACTAAATCAGTAATAAAATACTACCAACTCATTTTTGTAAGAATTGTTTTGTTTTGTCTCATACTCGGAGTAGCTCCTTGAAGATAACAGTACATAGTATAATTATCACTATTCTTTAATTATTTAATTATGAAATTTTGATTTATTTTTTCATAAAATAAAAATTTTTTAAAGTAAAGAGAAAGATGTTTTCGGTATTTCCTCATGTATGTATCTCTTCATTCTTTTCTTTCTGTACATCTATATTTCCATCAGTTATCACATGTATACTTTGGAAACCTTTCTTATGTATGTTTACATCTTATATGTGTATATACAACTCTCAAATTATGATCTGATGATAAGGTAAGGCAGCTAGGAGCTGCAGGTGCCCCAGTGCTGGGGAGGTGGCAAGGGCCCACAGTGCAGCCCCAGCATGGTCAGGTGGCACCTGGAAGTTGGCAGAAGCTGCAGGTGTGTGGCCAGTAACTACAAGTTGGAAACAACTTAGCTGTGCATCAGAAGATGAATAAATGAACAAAGCATCGTACCTGTGTATTCATTTAATGGAGTATTGTGTAGTCACAAAAAGAAGGATTTTCTGACCTGGGATAATACTGATAAACCCTGAATGTATTATCCCAATAGAATGGGAAGGGATCTGAGAGATGGAGGGGGATGGAGGGCAGAGAATGGGATGTAAAAATAATTAAGATATGTTATATATATGTACAAAACTCATGTCAAATGTAATCCTTGTGTGCTGCAAACATGTACTGATAAACATTTTGTAAAAGAAACAAGCCAGTCACAAGAAGACGGATACTGAAAACATGTACTAATAAAAAAACGTGTATCATTCCACTTACGCGACATATTTACACTAGTCAAACTCATGGAGACAGGTAATAGAATGGTGGATTCCAGAGTTTCTGGGAAGGGAGAATCAATTGAGTGACTGTTTTTTAATGAACATAAAGCTTCAATTTTTTAAGCTGAATAGACATGTGCGATAGATGGTAATGATGGTCTCACAATTAAGTGAATGTATCTAACATGTTGAACTGCATGCATAGAAAATGTTACAGGTTAAAATACATCTTTTAACATTTTCTTTTCAAAAGGATAGAACATAATGGCAGGCATGTGGAGCACCCCTAGTAGCAGTATCAATTGTTGTGACCATTTTGGGAAAGATACTTGGCAGTAGGAATGACTCAAGCTCCACATCTGCCTGACCCACAACCTAGCAGTCCTCCTCCTAGGGATGAACTCAAGAGAAATCCTGAGGCACATACTCCAGATAAATGGTCACAAACATCACTTACAGTATTGCATAGCATTTTCCAAGCTGACTGATCCACCTTCTAAAGAGACTGCAGACAGCAAGATGGCTTTCAGCAGATGCCAATGCCTTGATCTTGAACTTTCTGCCCGCAGAACATCAGAAAATACATTTCCTCTCTTTGTAAGTTATCCAGACATCATGATTTTGTTATGGCACCACATACAAGGGGAGTTTGTTTGTTTACTTATAGAGATATCCTTGGTGAGAATAAAGAAATTCTCACAGATTCCTAATTTATTTGCTTTGTTTGGATCTACATTTATAAATATAAATACATAATGGTATGAAATGATTTATAATTATAAATAAGAATTATTAAAAATAAGATTTATATATGTGGTATACAAGGTAGTATTTGATCAATATGTATAGTAATAATGATTACCACAACTAAGTTCATTAATATATCCACCTTTCCCATACGTTCTCTTTTTTTTCGCTATGAATATGCTTTTTGGTTTAATATCTTGATGAAATTAATTAGTATTTGAGATAGCATTTAGAGAATAATGGACAAAACATTATCTATTTGCCAAACTTTATGACAGAAAGACTGTTAGGCCACGCTCCACACAATCAGATTACTATTAGGATCTATGTATTAGTTAGAAACTATGAATAGCTTTTATAATATATTTGATTACTTAAATGTTCCTCTTGTTCTTTTTACTAAGGAAATTATAAAAAGCATTAAATGTATTAAGAGATCATGATGAATATAACTAAGAGAGACGATGATTTGCTGAGTTTTAATCAGTGTTGACTACTCTGAAATGAGAGTCATCTGAAGTCTGAATGCATCAAAACTTTACATCATTAACCCTCTAATCCAATGGACTGTGGTGCTATTGAATAACAGATGGAAGGATGAATGAAGGCTCAGATAGCTGGCAGAGCTGAGAATAACAAATGCAGACCATTTTTCCACAATGTCTTCTCCAGCTGCCTGTGGTATGCTGCTAGCTGCTATTTGCTCTGTTATTTTTCATCTTCCAGAACATACAGATACACAAGAATGTTAACACCTTCCGTGGTTTCAACTGTCATTTCTCTTCTGCAGTCTTCAGAAGAAAAGTTATTTCCTC